CATATTCATAAGCAACTTGGCCTCATCCAGTGGGATTTTATTTAAAAAAAAAAATTATGAGGATGCAAAAACTAGGCCTAGGAAAAAAATGTTGTGCTTCCTGTTTCAGTCCTGAAAAAATTAGGGTCAGTAGGTAGGGATTATCTTTTTTTTCTTTCTTCTTTTTTAGACGTCAGTGATATCTGTATAGGGGCGATTTATACAATATAGTAACAAAGTAAAACTTTCATGAGGACACTTTTATTTTCAATGTCAATGTTGGAAAACCGATTGCACATGTACAATGTTTCACCAACTTAGGTGTCAGATCATGCAGCTATGTTAATCAGCTCGAAAATTTATGCCCCTTAAAGGAATCCTCACAAAAAAGTCTAGGTTTTTCTAAGGTTGGTCGGGAAACTTAACAGGAAACACAACTTTTTTTTTCCTAGGCTTTAGTAAAAAAATAAGCTGATTAGATTGATATTTGCAATGCTCATTTAAAGTAACTATCCTTAGGTATACACAAAAAATGTATAATAATTTTTAATATACCAACTTTACACCAAGAGCAACAGACAACCCTATTGCTTCCAACTCAACTCAAGTTAAGGCAAAAGATACATAAAACAGTGGCTTGCATGACACTCAGGGGCCCTCTAAGCTTGTCTAAGAACAAATTAAAGTCTAAACGGATAGACTATATGGCACCCAACTGTGGTGTTTGGTATTACGTAGTCTACCTGCTTCAAGCGATCAATTATCTTCGATGTAAACAAAAGTCTTGCCACCCACACAGCGAAAAGCCAGTTTCTCATCCGTGCCTTCCTGCTTCTTGTTACTAAGAGGGAACACTTTCTTTTTCACAGATACTCTGACTTCCAGTTGACTTGCATGATGACGCACACACAACGCACGACCCATCACAGCCATTTAAATCGTTGAGAAAACTCAGTGATTCATGCACTCAAGGAGCCCGGCTAGCAGATCAAGTCTCCGAATTGCGTAAGCGACTCGCATTTAATCACCTACAAAGTCCCTCTTTAACCAGCAACTCATACACATGTACATGGCTTCCTATTACTGAGTATTAGAGCTCAGAAAGGGTCACGTCCAAGGCAGGGCTCGAAATCCTTTTTTCTGCCAATCTGCACAGGCAACTTTTAAATGCACAACTCTAGGAAGCATGGAACACAAGTTAAAAACTGACCAGAAAACAGATGCCATCATTTCTTTTATGAAATAAAGACAACACTAGATACAGAATTGGGACTTACCCCAAATTTTCTAAAATGTACATGAATTACAAAAATTTGGGGTAAGTCCCAATTCTGTATCTAGTGTTGGAAGTTAAAGCTCAGTCTTTATTTCATAATGATTTGTACCAACACAGATGAACTTTCATGCTAAGATCATTTCTTTTCATTAAAAATGTAAAAAGTATCAGTCAATACACAAATAACAGTCTTGCAAACCCAGTACACAGACAGTGAGACTGGCACAGGTTAGGTGCAGGTAGACATCAGAAATACCTGCACAGCTCCAATTTTACCTGCAGTAACCTGCATATACCCAGTATATGGACCAGTGCAGGTTAGATGCAGGTAGACATCAGAAATACCTACACAGCTCCAAGTTTACCTGCACTACCCTCCATATACCCAGTGCATGGACCGGTGCAGGTTTGTGGCAGGTAGACATCAGCAATACCTGCACAGCTCCAATATTAGTATTATTACCATGTGCATGTGCTCCATCCATGTGCAGATGCATTTCGAGCCCTGGGGCTGTCACCATGAGCTTGACTAGTGAAAGCTGGCACAATATATTGCTGCACGAATACTCCTTGCGGGTATATAGCCTAACTCACTTTACCTTTCAATAGACTGACTTTCACTAACTATGCACCGTAAAGTCGACTCACAACAAAGATGACCTTTGTACAGTCGGAGGCTGTCCTGAAACATATCGTTCCAAATCCCAGTCTATATCTGATAAGGAAACCTTGTGACTTCAGTTCTTGATGTTCAACAGTTGGACTCACTTTTGATGAGCTTGTATGGCTTGTACAGTTTGGAAAGCAGGACAGTTTGCAGATTTGACAGTTTCTTTGCGCTGGATGCGTAATAAAATATACTGTAATTGTCACACCTTAAAGACTAAATAACCAATGCATCTACCTTTGCAACTTAAAATAAAGCATTGTACTTTTGAGAGAAAATGTAACTGATCATGGGTTGAAGTAAGATCAGTTGAGAACTCCCATTTCAAAATCATGGTTCAAAATACTTTTTTCTGCATACCTGCAATGGTGCAAGTCATATTGAAAATTACCTGCACCAGAAAATTTTTACCTGCACCACTCAGGATTTAGGAAATAAAGGATCATACTAAAACTCTTTAGAAACCATTGCCATTATTTCTTTAATATCCCTTAGGGTGGAAACAGCCAATACAGCAAATAAAAATCCACATACCACGAGGATGGTGCAAGTTAGGTCACTCACACTCACTCACTCACTAGACATCAGAAATACCTGCACAGCTCTACTTTTACCTACAGTAATCTACATACTAGTAATATGCAGCATAATGCAGGTGGTATTTCGAGCCCTGAAAATACATGATGATCTTTTGATACACTGCAGTGGATAGTTATATAACTTCTGCCTCGATACAAGGATGCAAATAGATAAAAGGTATGCCCAGCACCATGGCTCTTGTACCTATTTTTGGGAGAAATGACTCTTCGGGCCAACGGCTGCGAAACTCACGAGTGATATTATGCCAGTCATGACTGGCATGATATCCGTTGCATCAGGCCGTCCTATCATAACATATCGGAACAGCCTATATGCGACATGGACAGACAACACAGGCGGCACGTGACATCTCGCGTTTCTCTCCTCGAGCAAAAATATACAGCTCTATCAAGCAACAGGTCAGTTATCAACACAGCTCACGTTTTCGTCACCTTCTACAAATACCGGTACCTACCGCGGGGGTTACATCCGTACGTCCACGTGTGATTCTCCGCTACCAACATGTTGTACGAGCGAAGCGCGTGTGTCTGTGAGAAACAACGCTACAAGGTTCGCCACACACATTGGCATCTCACTAATTCGGGGCGCTCGAAATTATAGTTAAACCAATAGGAAGCTGTGTTGTCGGGCTTGTCCCTGAATTGTTTCTGACGGGTCGGCTACAACTGTTTCAAATCCAAACATACCAACAGGATCTACAGGAAAAGGTCACGGAACACAATGTAAGCCCAGCTGTCACTGCGGGTGTCTACGAAATTTTTCACTGTGAGATATTTAAGCCGGCATACACCGGGGTACCATGTAAATCTCTTTGTACGCATTTAATGCAAAGACAACTGACACAGTTCCCTCCAAAATTTAAACTGGGAAGCTATTAACTCGGCCTAAACCTAACCCTTCTGTTGAGGGGAACCCCTCGCACGCGACTTAAGGTCCCCGGGGGAGTACTGCATACTAATTGGAACAGCTGACGGCTACATGTAGCGAAATATTCAGGGACAGATCGTTCCGTTTTGCTGAGGATCACACCACTGAACTAGCGAAATTTGTCCTGGAATTATCACCCACGATGTTTAATCTGATCAAGGGTCATAAAGACGGCGGGAAAACCAGACTTGATCCACGAAAAATTTGAAAATTTCCAACAGAAAACACGATTCTGGAAAGGCGGCCATTTTGAATACAATTTCCAATGCGAGGCCGTCATATCAAAACAAAGAAAACGAGGCAAAATCGGCTCTGATCTTTTAATTACCAAAACAAACACTTTTCAGAAATGTTCTGAAAATCGCCCTAACTTGGTCTGGATCGGTTTGGCTGGGTCAGGGCGGCGCGTGTGTGGCCGTGCCTTCGCCGGGAAACTAGACGCTCCGCAAGAATGGCTGCAATTTTGAATTGACATGCAGGGAACAGCTGATCACCCAAACAGTCCGACGTGGCCACCCAACAACCAACACATTTTGGCTTCAAAACTAAGCACACGAGCGTAGCATGAGAGAAATCTCACGCACGATTATCTTAAGAGAGGCAACAAGGAGTTTTGTGGATGTCTTGGAGCCGATTAGAAGGAAGATTTGAGATTTTTCAGGCCGGCTTTAGGAGCACCGAAAAGGCCGAGGAACAGTCACTTCCGTGCCGCTCCATCCTGTCTGAAATGCCCGTCATACCACAAAAATAGGGCGCTATGCCGCTCATGCAGCCACCACTACATCACTTGGATATCCAGGACTTATTTTAAAACTGCAAGGTCCACAAATACGTCCACGATTGTAGCCAAAAACGATCGTTCTGAGCGAGACTTCTTGCACATACATCCCCTCGCCCTCCCCACGCTAGCCAGACTACGCCACTGTTTATTCCCCGTCTAGAGCCACATTCTTTGAAGTCATCCCAGAAATTCCGCCGCTATGGTTTTCAAGGACATGAAATGAAGCTCATATATGCCTACTGATTGTATTGTTTTTCCACAGTGTGTCCTACACCGGCAGCAATACGGCAAGATGAACAAGAAAGCCGGCAGAAACCGGGAAGTGCAACAAGGCCACGGAAGCCTTCGCCGGGTGATGCTGTGCCAGTGTTGCGTTGCGTCTGTTGCAACATGCACCCCCACTCGGTGACCTCGCACAAATTTTACAAGTTTTTCTTGAAATAATTACTTACCAAGGTGTATTAGAGCCAGTGTATCCTGATCTGGAACGCAAAATCCAAGTTTGGCGGGTCAGGACTTCCGGGATCCACAATCCTCTCGTTGATCGTCTGTTCAAATCGTTGTCCCTGAACGGGCCAATAAAAATGGCGCGCGAAACAAATTTCCTTCCAATTCAGCCTTGCTTTGTCCAGATTTCCATCCAAATCATCTCAAAATCCACATCAGAGGACGGGATGGGATCAAACAATTAACCCTCAACAAATTCCGGCTCCTCGACACGCTACTTGCACATCCGATTTCGCTCCAGAAATAATTTTTTCGATCGGCTGCAACTGCAGACAAAATGGCGGAAAAAATACGTTCTTTATTTCGAATTCAGTTCGGAGGGGAATCGGACGAATGACGCGACAGCTTCGTTGCCCCTGGCAACTGTCAATCACTGAGTTCAAAGGTGCCCGGATGACGCACTGACGTCATGGGAGTGGCATTTGAAATGTCCCGGATGAACGATGGAAAAGTAGTATAGTGTTTCCAAAGTGTGTCTTTGCATCAGGTGGACAGGCTAGGTTGTGCGGCGCACAGGATACCTCCAAGCAGATCTGAAGTGAATAACAGTTTCACCTACTTTGTTCGTACAATAAAGGCAGCACAATAATGGATTATCTCTAGACAAGACAAGACTTTTAATAGCTGGCCAAGATAAGTTGTGGTCTTGAAGGCATGTCACTTCTATGGCCATGTTGATTTGATTATATGGATGACATCCTCCGGGAGCCCCAAAACTGATGCGCGCGTGCGAATTAAAAAAAAGTTTTGACAAAAAAAAAAGTTGTTTTCATTATGAAATCTACGTGGTCATGAGGGTTGAACAAATGGGACAGAATATGGTTTGGCGAATAATCTAATCTTCAAGTTCATTTCCTTACAATTTCGTCTTTTTTTGCTTGATTTTGGCATTCTACGACATTGGTATAGTTTTTACTTATTTTTTGGTAACTTACGGTATATTTTTTGCTCATTTTGCAACTTTTTTGTACGATTTACAGTATGGTTGAAAACTTTTTTTTGAAAGGGCCGAAAATTCATGCGCGCGCGGATGTCATCCATATAATCAAATCAACATGGCCTAAGCCTACGGACACTGCATGTG